ATTAAGTTTGTGGCTGGGGATGGGGGTAAGATTATGGTCATTTGTGGTCTGGGGATTGGAAGAAACATTCTAAGAGACAAAGGATGTGGAGTCTCCGGAGGTTTGGTCGGATTCGGCCATGTTGAGGGTTGGCTAGAGATGACGGCTAGGAAATTAGGGTTTTGAGAACCTAGGGCTCTGATACCATGAAGTTTGGAATAATCTGAATTTCCTCTCATTAATTGAATGGACCGGAAAGGTATTTATACAAAGGCAAAAGATAAGATCTTATCCTAAGAGACCTCCTAGATATTAGGAACTACTTTACACATTTATAGGGATTAGCTTACAATAGATCCTTAGCTATTATCCCACGATTCTAGGAGCCTATCACTTATCTAATACTCGGCTAGTTTGAATTTCAACAAAAACCACTTTAGAAATCCTACCGTTGTTATCAATGAAAATAGTCTTCTGGTCACCAGGTGAACAAAGATGAGCAAGAGCTAAAGCCACTCTTCTTTGAACCATTTTATCACCAACGCGCATAAGATATAATAGATGGTTTAGTACCTGTCAGGAGAAAGCACCTAAGTTCAAATCCATCCTCACAACAATTACATTTTGAAAATTTAATTTAATTTAAAAAGGCGTGAGAAACATACACGTCCATGAATCTTTTCCTCTAATCTTTTCAATGTCTTTGACACACAATCTTTAGTTGGCTGAAGAAAAAACAAGTAAAATCAAACAAAGTGACAAAGGTATTGTCAACTAGGGAAAACAGGAAACTGCAAATGATGATAACAAATAAAGAGCTATGGCAAGCAACTAGAAACGTATTAAAAGGAATATATACTTGAACTATGAATTCTCCTTCTTGGAGTTTCTGAACACCTCCGACTTTGATTATATGTGCAACATTATCCTGGAAACAACATCAAGTTAGTTCCAACTTCCAATACTTAGCAGAAATAAATAATAAACAGAGGAAAACAGGAATGCTAATGCGTTCTAAAGCAATGGATAACAAAATTCACCTCATTATCTGCAAGACCATATAAAGCAAATGCGGCATTGTGTTGCAAGGAGCCATTTTTTGAATCAAGAAGCTTAAGTAGAGGGAGAATACCACCCTTATAAGCAATGCCAGCTTGGTTGTGTGTATCCTAAAGAAATAATTCTTTATTAACCACAGAGTTCATACATTCCATGCAAAATTTACACAAAAAGGACAACATATAATAGCGTAAATCACTCAACAAAAATACACACAAACTAAGTTTTGGTACAACATAGACAAGTTGATGATCAGATAGCTCAGACTCTCTCATAATGACTCCTAAATTGCATTAAGGAAAAAAAAAACGGAGATAATTACCTGTGCCAATCTCCCAAGTGCAAAAGCTGACATCTCCTTAAGTTGTGGATCTGGAGACAGAAGTAACTCAATCAATGGCTGAAGAGCTCCCCTTTGTACAATGTGAACCTGCATGTATACCAGTGTTCTAAATAACATTAACCAAAAAACGTCATGTGCAGCATGAAAATATACCCACTGCAAGCACTAGATGTTCAACACTAAAATAGTTGCCCACCTTGCAATCTGAATCAGCCGCCGCAAATTGACCAAGTAATAAAGCTGCTTCCCTTTGGCTCTCCGAACAGCAAGAACTGTCAAACCAGGATCAGATTTTCATCAATGAAACATACAATTCACATTAATTCAAATTAGAAGATGAACATAAGATGTATTCACCTGAGTAGTTCAATAACTGGTTGTAAAGCACCAGCTTGGAGAACTTGTTGCTTAATGTTTGGGGATGAGTGTACAAGATTACCAATTACGCCAACCTGATGAACTATAACAGTTAAACTAATGCATATAAAAAGAAACGGAAGGTGCAGGTAGACTGTAAGCATTAAAAAGAAAAAGAACAAGAGCAAACCGCTTCATAATGTATAGCAGCATCCTCAGACCGAAGCATTAGAATAAGGGTAGGTAATGCATTACACTCTACAATCTGCAATTTTTCAATTCCCCAGTTAACAGCTATAATTAAAACTAATTTCACAGAAATAATGGTATAAATAGAATACTATTCACCTGATTTTTGTTTTCATCATTCTTAAATGCAAGGGTTCGCAAGGCTGCAGCAGCCGCTCTCTGTACCTTGGCATCAGAGAATTGAAGCAACTCAACAAGATGAGGAATACCACCTTCAATCCTGAAATTATAAATCATATGCATAACAATAAGCATTTATCCACTTACGATGAAACTTTTTTATAAACTGAAATGAGAAAAGCATACCTGACACGGCTTTTGATGCTGCTATTTTCATGAGCAAGGTTAGTAATTGCATCAGCCGCTCTCCTGATAACACCACTGACTGCTCGAGAGCTAACACCACTCTTATGCCATTTTAACAGCTCCACGAGATGCGATAAAGCTCCAGAATCAACGATAAGGTGTTGATATTCCGGCTGTTTTTTGACACAGTAGACAATCGCCAAACAATTTAGGTCTAGATATTAGTAATCACTGAATTGATATTAGCAAAACAGCAAAGAGGCACAAATTAAATTACTTTAACCGCAAGAAGTCCAAGCGCGAAAGCACTTCCTTTCTCCACCTCATAATCACACCGCCTCGTCGCATCGTCGCCTCTCCCCGGCTGCGGCGCCTGTAGATTATTAACCAGAACCGGAATTGCTCCGCAATGGACTATGACACTCACAATTTCCTCTGCAGAATCACCAGGACCTCGTAAATCTCAAACAGATCAAAGACAAACACAGCGTTCAGTTCAATCAACACAAAAACGAACCGAATCGTACCGTCCTCGGCCAGTTCGCAGAGGGCGTGGGAGGCTTTCCTGGCGGCGGTGCGATCGGAATCGGAGGACGAGAAGGCGGAATCGAGGAGGCGAAGATGAGATCGGACATCGCGGATCAGATCTCCGCGAGCATTGCTAGGGATCTTGCGATCGGGGGCGTGATCTTGCAGTTGCTCTTCGAAATCTTCGTCGAACTTCCGCTTCAAGCTTCTTCTGACTGGATTCTGAGGGTTGTTGTTCGCCATGGAATTCTCGTTTCGATTTTTTTTTTTTTTTTTTGTGGGGGGAGAGGGGATCCGGGATACTGGAGAAGAAATGATTGGTTGCGGAGTTTGTATAAAAGGGGAAGAAAATGGGGGTTTCGCGGGTTTTATAGATGGAATAATGAGATTTGAATGGCCCGCCAATTTGCTCTTGGAATTGTTGTGCGAAACCGCCTTCCCGCCCTCGGAATTTATGAATTGTTACTAAACTGCGCGTCGTTTTCTTCCAATTCTTTTTGTTTTTTTTTTTTGTCCGGAGCGAATTTATCTTCTAATTCTTCAGTACTTGTTCTTTTGAAGTGTGACTTAAGTATAATTTTTGAGTTGAATTTAAATTATAATTTGAGTTGAAGTTACAATATGAATAAAATTGAGTAAAGTTGAATAAAGTTGGCCCCGTTCATTTCGCCGATTCGAGTTTAGAATTTGAGTTTTGCTATAATAAAAAGCTCTCAGAAACAGTCACATCTAACTTTTTTGCTACAGTAAAAAGCTCTCACATAAAATCACATCTCAACTCGAATCAACGAAGTGAACGGTAGAACTTAAAAGAGAGTGAACTTGAATAAAGTTGTAACTTGAGTTTAAACTTTTTCTGAGTTTTGTTACAAAATAACAACCCTTAAGGGCTTGTTCTTTTGGAGTTTAACTTGAGTATACTTCTTGATTTGAATTTGAGTTATAACTTGAGTTGAACTTGTAACTTGAGTTTGTGTTTGGTTGTGTACATTTAAGTTATGGTTTGAGACAAGAATCTTTTTGAGTTTGTGTTTGAGTGAGTCAAAACTTGAATTTGTATTTAGATAGTATTTTAATAAAAACTCAATGTTGATGAAAAATTTTAATATGGTATATGGGTCGGGCTTTATTCGTCTTTTCATTGTCAACGCATAGAAAAAAAATCATCTCAATCAGAATTAAAACGAAAAAGTTATAGCATTTTTAAGAATAGAAAAAATATTGTTCATTAATTTGAGTTCGAGTTTATGAACTCGAATTGAAGGATAAACTTGAACTCGAGTTTGAACTCGAGTTTAAAATTAAGGGCCCGTTTAGTTCGCTGATTCGAGTTTTTAATTCGAGTTGAGATGTGACTTTATGTGAGAGCTTTTTACCGTAGCAAAAAAGTTAGATGTGACTGTTTCTGAGAGCTTTTTACTGTAACAAAACTCGAATCGGTGAAGTGAACGGGGCCTAAAAGAACATGAACTCGAATAAAGTTATAACTCGAGTTGCATTTTTTTGAGTTTTTCACTCAAAAGAACAAGCCCTAAATCTCTCGTTCATTTTATTGATTCGAGTTTAGAATTTAACTTTTATTACAGTAAAAAAACTCACATCTAATTTTTTTGTTACAGTAAAAAGCTCTCACATAAAGTCATATCTCAACTCAAATTAAAAATTTAAATCTACAAACTAAATGGCCCTTATTCACGGAGGAAAAACGAAGAAAAAGTACCATATTATCAACCTTATTCCAGAGAAATAGTATAAAGACATTGCCCCTGTTTGGTTATTGTGTTTGAGCCTTCGAGGTATTTTTTAACATTTGCGTGTATAAAGTGTACCGAAATATTAGGTTTTTCTATAATAAGAATAGCAATTTCAACTTGTATGGTATTTACTTATTAATATTTCAAGCTATAGGCCTAAAATATCATATTAAACTTGTATAGCATTTCTTTTGTCCGTGGACAAAAATTTGAACTTATGTATTTTTAAGCTTTTGCTAGGAAACTTGTAGCGAAATTATAAATGATTTTTTCTTTTTTTCTTTTTAATCTTTGGCCGAGATATGATGCTGATAATGTTTAGTAGAGGGATTCGTTCCCTGATTCAAATCATGATTCATGGTTCGCTACAGTATTTTCTCTCACAAAAAATTCACGTAAATCGAAAATGATTCGAATCACATGGTTTGAATCCTCCAACCAAACGTTATATAAATAAATGCATGTTTTCAAACTCGTGCACTATAGAGGAAGTGAAGTGTAGTTTATTTATTTAATTTTTTTCTTTAAATAAAAGTGGATTTTATTACCCAATTGTAATATCTGTAAGTATAAGAGAGCCAATAAAGTCAGGCAGAAAATCAACCCAAAAAAAGTTTTGGGATTGCATACATGCAAAATTTGCCAGTAGTTTATTTGAAGATACCACTATTAGTACTTGAAAATGAATGACTTGTCGTGCTTGGCTCAAATTAAATATTGACACCAGCTGTTAAAAGATAAACGACATAGTGTCCTTTCTTTGAAAAAACTGTAATCGAGTTAAGATGAGCGATGCGTCGTTAATTTCACTGAACATCGTCGAGATTCAGATGAAACGGCATGTCATTTATACGAGTAAATCACAAGATGCAGTACAAACCTTTCCTGTCGTTTTCAACTTAACTGAAACGATAATTATTTAAAATAAACGACATGCAGTTGATGTGCTTGCTATAACACAAGACAACATTGGACAAAAAACGACATGTAAAAGAACATCATGTCGTTTCCACTTAAAATCCATAAAGCCGTTATATTTTAAGACACGTCGTTTTTAACTGAAACAACGATGGCCATGTTTGAAATTGATCCCATTTTTTGCTTTTACGTTTATTGAGAAAGAAAAAATGAAAATGTTTATAAACCGGCGTTTGGCGCAATAAAAACAAAAAACATAAATGAAAATGACTTTTTGGTTTAGTGTAAAATGAGAGAGAAATGAAAAATGACTTTTAGTTATTTTTCATTTTTTATTTTTGTTTCCTCCTCTCTCGAGTAGAGAGAGAGAAAGAGAGACATTAATGGGTTTTTTTACACTGAAAATAATCTATTGATAAAACTACCAAACGTATTTTCAAAAATGATTTATATATGAGATTGAAAACGTTTTCATTTTCATATTCATACAAAAAAACAAAATCATTTTGGAACGAGTTCCAAACGCGCCCGATAATTCTTCTAATCTAATGGACTGAAAGCTTTTACTGGAAATAATATATACTTTTGTTAACGACATGTTTAAGCGCGTAAACAACATGTTTTTGGTCCCCACAATTATGGAAAACAAAATATTTGAAAAAAATATGCAGAAGTAAATGGTTGGTGATATTTAATTAAAACTTAATACTAAAAATAACATTGTATTAAGAAAAAAAACAAAATCTTATTTAGTTTGATATATTAGATTGTATGCTATATAAATCACAATGGTTGAAAACAAAGGCTTAATTTGGTATCGGTTTTCACTCATAGCTTATGCTTGTAGCAAAATATGCTTTTAGTGTGGTAAATCTCCTTAAAAGTGTTTTTTAAAGAATTTTTGAAAAATCTACACCCAAAATGAGAAGCAGCCTAAAGGAAACTTTAACTTTTAAATTGTGTGGGAATCATCACAATACAATTAATGAAACTTTCATAATACCCATAATACTCCTAATGAAATTTAAAATTTACAATATTCACGAACTAAAATTCATGCTCATAATATAATATAATATAATAATACAATTACATAATATAATATAATATAATGTGATAGTAATATTGTAACAATTAATATCATAATTATATTAATAACTCTAATGTTATTATTTTATCATATAATATGATATCATAATAATATTATAATTATTTTAATAATATGATATTATAATTATAATATGATATTATATATTATATTATATTGATATAATTATATTTATTATATTAATAATAATATAATCATTATTATATTATAACTGAAATATTATTATTTTTTATGTAATATTATAATATGTTATATAATATTGTAATTATATTAGTATAATATAATATAGTCGTAATTTATTGAGAATTTAACTATTTTCAGTAAGTCAACCTTATAATTTAGTAAACGCTATTGATTTTAGAATCAGTACAGCTACTATAATTATAGGCCTCATTTATTATTAATTATTTAACTATTTTTTATAATAGCTGTTTTTTCTTTCTTCACAATTAAAAATAAATTTTTTTTAAATCTATAGCAACACCCAACTAAGCCAAACAAATGTACTCTGTTCTCTGTCATACTGGACTGTGGTCCCTGGACAACTTTACTGTCCATAATCCATTACAAACGACAACTGAAGGCCCCAACCCCAGCCTCACTTCACCTGGGTCCTCTTACATCTCAGCCCATACCTGAAAATATCTAATCTTGAATTTGGGCCTACATTTAAAAGCACAACAAAATGACTCAAGCTCGTACGCACGAGGTTGCACAATTTTGACATCATCAAGCGACATCGACGACCACATAGCAGGCAGATCCAACATGATTTACTGATCTTGGAAATTATTTTTAGAAAAAATGAAAAATTTATTTTTAAGAGTGCATGAGTCTAGATTTTTATTCTTAATAAATATCTTTTTATTAGTGTAATTATTTGATTAAAAAGATTATGAATATAAAAATCATGACTCATGCACTTTTAAGAGATGTTTGTCAAAATTACTTTTATTTTTAGGGTATTAATCTGTTGATTTTGCAAGTTAATGCCATTATGAAAAATAATCTATTAGATTACTCATGGAAGGTTAACCTAGCACACTTTTTAAACTTAATTGGTCCTTTACAGAGGCAGAATTCTGACCCTTCCTATTGTAGGGACAGAATTCTTACTATGTCTATTAAAGAAGCATTCCTAAAGATTTCCCCTAAGAAAATGTCCAGATTCATTTCCCTGTAAGTCTCCCAAAATTGAATAGCTACTCCATTTAGAACATTACCATCGACCACCAAGGTGAAATTCTAATTAAGGCTAATAGTATTGAGTTTATTCTTTATGTAAATTGGAAATCTCAATCCTCTTTTTTTTTTTTTTTTTTTTTTTTGTATTTTACACATTTACACCCTGTACTTGTATGGTTTTAGCAACTTGTCCATAAACTTTTTAATTTTCATAAGTTTTACCCCATCAACTAACAAAATTATTGTAATATGCCGCATTTTGACCATGATTGTGTTAAATTAGTGTTAAAAAAAAAACCTTTGATGAAAAATTTCAACATGTCAATTTAAATGTAACACAAATCTTTCAATTTAACAATTTTTAATCCCTTAAATCTAATAAAATGTTTGAATAAATTTAATAAAATGGTGCAAATTGTAATAATTTTACAAGTCTGAGTTGACACCTACTGATTGGTTGGGACTTATCAATCCTTAATAAGACTCAACTGACATGTTTTCTCTCTATACA